TTGTTATATATCCCTCTTTTGCCAGTTATCCTATGGAAATCAGATTCTTCCTCAGGCTGGAAATATGTCTCACATCATTCAATTTCCATACAGACCCATTGAGGTTGATCTGTACTACTCCTTTTCCAACTATATTACACGCCTGGTCATCACCAAGGTAGACTTTTCCTAGATTTTCTGGAACATAGTTCTCAAATAGATCTCTATTTGAGGTAGCATGAAACGATGCTCCCGAATCCAGCACCCATGATTCTGTTTTGCTCTCTAACGAGCAAATGAGGGCATTATCTGATTCTCCTTAGGCAACGTTCGCATCAGTCTTGCTCTCCTTGTCTTTCTTGGGTTCCCTGCACTGATTCTCATAGTATACATACTTGCCACAATTCCAGTAATCAATCTCTTTCTTGCTTTTACGATTTCTAGATTTTGACCTACCGTTCCTTGAATTTGGTCTCCCACAGCTATTTCCTCTATTCTTGTTTCTGTTTCTGCCTCTACTTTCAACATTCAGTGCCGACCCTGAACTAGAAACTCCTTCTTCTTACCTTCTAATCTCCTCAGTCATAACCATGTCAACAACATCTGAAAACTTTAGTTTTGATTTTCCAAATGACCCGCTAATCGAAATAACGGTATCCTTCCAACTATCAGGCAACTGACCAAGTATTAAGAGGGCTTGAATTTCATCATCGAATTTAATATTAATGGAGTTTAACTGATCCGTGATCTCATTAAATTCATTCAGGTGATCCTTGAATTTTTAATTCTCAGACATCTCAGATTAAATAACTTCTTTATGAGATGTATTTTATTCGCTACAGAGGGTTGTTCATACATGCTGGATAAAACAGCCATGAGAGACGTCGTCGAGTCCTGATTCTTGATGTTGAAGGCTACAGATCTGGACAAGGTCAACCTGATTGCTCCAAGGGCCTTCCGATCTAATAACTTACATTCTGTATCCTTCATATCCACTAGCTTCTCTCCCAACGATAAATACAGATCCTCCTGATAGAGTTAATCTTCCATCTGTATTTTTTAGTACCCGAAGTTTGTCACATCAAACTTCTTAATCTTGGACGTCTCCTCCTCATATCTCATATCTAATCTCAAATCGCCTGCGCCAAACCTGGTCGCTCTGATACCAATTGTTGGTTTTTCTAACCCCTGTTGCGATTTGGAAATAGAGATGAGGAAGAGAAAAAGAACAATCACAGAGAACACAGAGAATTTTACGTGGTTCACTTCTCAACGAGAGAAGCTACGTCCAAGACCGTCGCAAGAAAATTTTTACTATTCTCAGGTTAGTTTACAAGCTGCCCTAATCACCCCTTTTATAGCATAGGGTTCTTACAAACAAGAATCTTAAACAGATCAGAAAACGAGGCTCAAACCCAAGTCGCGGTCGACCGTCAACAATGGCACGGTCGACCGACCATAACGTCAAAATCTTAGGAAACCAATTATAGGATCCGCGGTCGACCGGGCCTAGCTTCGCGGTCGACCGGACATAATACAGAAACACACCCTGTAGTGTGCATGTTTTTCGGTCGATCGGGCCTTGCCTCACGGTTGACCGGTCAGCACCCAAAACGTTACCTTCTTCGTTTTTCCTATTCTTGCCTATTTTTTCTCTTCAATGCAGCGAATAAGGCTGAGTCTGATAGTTAGGCTCCACATAGCCTAACAGGTTTTGTTAAAACAAATATAAAAATAAAAACAGGATGAGTAGCTGCTCAGAAGAGAATTGAACGTGCTCTGTTTAATGTGTCATATAGCCTGATGACATAGTTCACTGTAAAACAGAGATTAACCTTTTGCTCAGAAGAGAATTGAACGTGCTCTGTTTAATGTGTCATATAGCCTGATGACATAGTTCACTGTAAAACAGAGATTAACCTTTT